TCCACTGCCTGAGAAGAGGTTCCAGCAAGGTAGGGGTTGGCTTCTTCTACCAAGTAACAAGTGAGAGGACAACCAGAAATAGTTTTAAGTTGTACCAGGAAAGATTCCATCTTGATACTAGGAAACATTTCTTCACTGACAGAGTGGCCAGGCACTGGAACAAGCTGCCCAGAGAAGCGGCGGAAAACCAATTTCTGGACGTTTTCAAAAATCATGTGGATTTAGCAGCCTCTGCTGTTTTTTGTTTTTTTTTTTTAATGTGCTTACCAATGCAATACAGAAGGCCTACCAAAAAGCTATTTTAAAAATCTAACAGTTGTTGAAAGGCAGTTAGTTCTCTAGCCTGCTCAAGGAATTATGCTTCTAATTCCAATTTCAATGCTTATTCCCTGTTTACATTGGCTTAGTCATTGGCTTCTAGGCATGCTAGAGTTTCTTCTCCTGTTTCTTTGGGAAAAGCAACAATGAAGATATTCCTACGTTATTGTCATCTGAAAGTGGAATAGGGCATGGCTCTTCTTAGCTACCAAGGTGAGTCTCTAGAGAAGGGATAGAGTTTGGAATCATATGGCATTTACTTCCCTTTGAAGCTTTGTGACAGAAATGTCAAAAGTGACATTCCTGGATGTTTTGTGGTGCCCTGTTCTAATCAGGCAGTCAACACCAACGTCATCTGAGAATTTGTCTTGAATTACACCATTAGAGGTTTTCCAGCCTGAAAACTCTAAATGTTTTTGATCTACTGCAGTGCTATGATTATCACTATTGCTTCTGTAGTTGCTGCTGCTATCACTACTGCTGTGATAGAAGTGAGCAGTGCCTTCAACTTTATATTTATTAGTAAAAAGTTAAATTTTGCTACAAGAAAAAAATAAAAGCATTTGCTATCCATCTTCAGGTAACACTATTTAGAAGTACCCACTTCCTTAAAATAAAGACTGGAACATTAAACTTATTCTTAGATTCTGCATAATTTTCTCCTTGCCAGAATATTTAGTTTATCTCATATACATCATCCTGAATTAAACCCAGTATTTTATTGATATTGCCACTCCCACTTGCATGTTGGACATTCTTACATCACTTAGGGGTTTTTTTGGGTAGTATATTTTATACTTCCTACATCTATGTTTATTCTTCTAATGTGTTAAAACTAATCTTTATTAGAGGAATGTGATGAGTCTTTTGTACTTCTCTTTAAGAAGTAATGGTATAGAGAGCTAGCTGAATTTCCTAAGTATTGGTTTGCATTGTAAAGTCTTGAAAAGATGTCAAATGGGCTTATATCAAAAAGCAAGTAACAAACAAACCAAAAGCTTGTTGATGTCAGGACTTACATTCTGAAAGTCATTCAGATAAAATATTTTTTATGAAGTCTATTGGAATTTTGTTAGTGTGAAAAGAAATTCTCAGTCATCAGTAACTATATTAAAAATCTTTCTTCCTAAATAGGGATTTAAAAGTTTGCCCACAGAAACTAATAGAAGAGAAGATTCAAGGCTTCACATTGGCTCTTAATTGGGTCTTCTGTATATTTAGAGTGGACTTGCCAATGGACGATCTGAATATGAGGATCTGGATAATGAAATTTATTTACTTTACAGATGTTTAGTATTCTGGAAGAAGAACTGTTTATTCTGGGAAAAGTCTCGAGCATAGGAAAATAAGTCCCTAGCATAGGTGAATCAGAGCAGTGTTTCTGCTTCAGTTGCCCCTTAAAACAGAGAGCATTCATTTCGAAAAATATATTCTTGAGGCAAATGCTAATAGGACGCAGAATATTTTGTGATGCACAGGCCTGAAATGTATGTCAGCAATGATTATCTTGAAACTGGAAATCTGCCATACTACTGCAAGAAATTTGTCTTACTAAGAAAAATGTACTATTAAAAGTGCCAGTTATTAGATTGGTTTGGACATTGCAGGTGAATTGTATTCTTGAAAAAGACTGGAGTATATTTTGATTCCCAAAATCAAAACTTAAAAAAAGAAAGAGAAAAAAAAAATTTATTTCCTTCAATTCCTTCTCATTCTCTTCCCCTATTATAAAATGTTCTGCCGCCTTGCATGCAAATTTAGGCATGCACACTGCTCAAGACTGTTTTGGTAAGTGGTGTTAATACTGTACCATTAGCATTTTGTAGTGAGTATCCTGTCAGTATGGAAATTTGCCTGCAAATGTCAGGGATTCCATGAGGTACTGGCTTCCAGGGAGTTACTAATATATCCTTGTGCGTAAAGAGCTCTTTTGAACTGATGAGGTATTTATAAATTCTTCGTACTGTAAAACAGCTGCAAAAGAAATAAAAGTAAACTTTCTGAATCTCCATAAAATATCTCTCCAAAACTACTGCAAATCTAACTGACTGAATAAGATTGCTCTGGGTAGTGGTGACAGGCATACGAGAGGACACATTCAAGGCAGGGCAAAGAGGTCTGCAGCACTGTACTGAAATAAAAGTTTTTAACTCTTTTTGTCATGCACTGGACTAAAAAGTTTGATTTTTTCTTCCCTGGTAACTATATGCCAGGCCTACAGAGCAGTCCTTTATCTATGGTACCCACTATTCTGTGCCCTCTCTGATTTTTTCTGCATCCTCTTGAATGTTTTTTGCCCCCTCATACCTTTGAAGATGGCCCTGCTTTGAGCTGGAAACTGGACCAGTGACTTCCAGAAAAACCTTTCAACTAAGATTTTTCAGTAATCCTACAATTATCTGATAATCACAACTTGTGTTGCCTTCTTGCTAAAACTCTTACAGATTTTCTGTAGTATTAAAATGTTCAAATTTTTCATTATAGTTTATGAATCTTGTCTCTTTGTGTGTATTGTGGTCTTCCTTCATGTATACAACTTTCTAGTTCATATACCTTACAAATTATGTTCAAGAACCTCCCCAACAAATTTCAAAACCAAAGTTTCTTTGGGCCATAGATATGATATTCTGTAATTGTAATTACAGGATTTTTTAATTTTCATTGTCTGATTACATTAACAGAGGACATTGCCTAAATGAGTTGCAAGCTAAATTTAAGTGAGCAGTAAGTAATGTTAAATCTGTACTGCCTGTGCTGTTCTGCACAGTCTTTTGACCTACCTTCAAGAAAGGAACAAACATCTTTTTGTATAACTACTCATACTGTGAATGTACTCCTGGAGAGAAGATTGCTTCCTTCAGAAAAACCAGCAAAGATAGATAAATATCTCCCTTCTCCCAAATACTTAGTGGACAGCCAAGTGTAATTCTTCCCTCACTTATATATCCCCAGCATTTAAACTTTCCTCAAAGTTTTCTACTAAAGGTGTTTTTTATATGGCAATAGAGAGCCTCATTCCTGCACAAAAACAGTGGAGATAGTCCAGTTTGTCTCCTAGTTCACCTTTTACAAAGATATTTATAGATTTGGGGTAAAGCTGCAAAGTAACGGAAAATTTCAGCAATATAATGGCATTTGCAAGCCTATACATGCCTTCTGAGCATGTCTAATGCTAAGGGTAATTGGGAATAGCATTCCTCTGTTAGTTAAGTCTTCTGTTGACTTTTTTTATCTCCTTTCTATTAGGTTTCAAAAGTATTAAAAACATTGTGTGAATATGCACATATTATTTAAAAAGAGAATGTGAAAAATCTAAGGGAACTTCTAAGACCTAGTTCCTTGGCCTAGAATCCCATGTGATGAAAGAAAAAGAGTGATCTCTTCATTTTTCTAAAAACTTCAACATTCTCAAATATTTCTTCACTGGGAGCCTACATCACTGATGGTTTTAAAGCCAAGTATGTGCCAAGTCAATGCTTTCCAGAATTCTGAGCAGAGATCATTAAATGTGTGACAAATATCAGGCATTTTCTACATGACCATTTTTAACAGAAACATGGTAGGGATTAATTATGATCAAAATAACCATGGTGAATGAAGTTTCACCATGAATGAAGCTTTGACTACTAATTTTTCTCTCTCTTTTATTTTTCTTTTTTCTCCTCATGAGCACACACATGAACTTTTAAAATGTCAATCTGTAATACCTCATTCCATTTTATTCCATTTGAAAGATTGACTTTACAGTTTTCTACTGATAATTTCATTTAGTTGGTGAATGCAAGATAAAGTTTGTCATCTAATTGATTGATACTTGTACAGACTTCAGAAGGCATGTATTAGGTAATCATAAAAAGTTTAAATACATAATTCTTTCAACAAAATAAAATTACCTTAGTACTTGGAAGTAAGAACAGGGTGTTATGGACTGAAAGAAATTACGGGGTGGTGGTGATTCTTTTCCATTTTCTCATGGAAAGTGTATTCTTGTTGAAAGGATTCTACTTATTGTGCTTTTTTGAGGGTGTAATCTTTCTGAGGGTGAGCTGCCATTAAAGTACAGATCATAGCCTTGGGCATTGGTACTTACATATTGTTTTCTTTGTGCAAAAACCAGACTCACTTCTGCTGAACTTTCTTTTCTTCTGCTAAAGCCACACTTACTAACTACTGTGTGAAATGTCATAGCAGCTTGTGAGAAACCAGAACTCAATTTTAGGGAAAGTTTATATATGCCTATGTGTTTTTTTATTATATTTGCATTTTACTTTCTAAACCCTTTAAGGAACTGTGAAAAAGAAAAATGCTTTCATATTTTTTGCATTAGATTTAATTCAATACTATGAGGACAGTTTAACATTAATTAGCAAGAAATTGATTATTTTTCACCATAAAGTGCAACAGTATAAGTCCAACAGTTTCCTCCCACTTCATTTCCAGAGTAGCTTGTATTTGATTTAAGTGACTTGACTCATGCCGTACTTCCCACTCATTTTAATTGCTATTTTTTCAAAACAGTTAATGAAGCGCAACAAACATGCTTTATTATGTTGTTACCTAAATTTCTGTAGATGCATCAAGTTTTCATTTAGTTATTGTTTTAATAAACCACTTTCAAATTGAGGATTACATGCAATATTGAGTATTTTAAAAGACTTAATACCATCCTATGTGTTTTGCAGACAATCCTGAGCTAGTGAGCCACGTTCCAGTTGGTGTTAGAATCCTGGATGTCAATGACAATCCTCCCGAGCTTGCCAGAGATTATGATGTAGTCGTCTGTGAAAATTCAAAGCCTGGTCAGGTAACTCTCACAGCTATATTTCTTACAATGAAGAAGAAGAATTGCTTTGTTAATGTCACATATGTCAGAAGTTTGGAAAATGTCATAACTCTTTCTGATTTTACTTTAACATTTTGTACTTGATTGAAATTTTAATTGTATGAGGCAAAAGGGAGAAAATTTTGGCATTTGTTCAATATCTTTTTCATGTTGCTGCAAAAAAAATACTCAAACTATCTTCTGTAAAGGCAGGTAAAACTTTAATCCTGTCAGATAAGGGGTAGAATTTGACAAGCCACTATCCTGAACAAAGTGAATAAAGCAGATTTAACATCTCTCATCCAAGTGCCACATAGTAGCAATGTTTCAAATGCAGCTCACTGAAGTGGCTGGTGAGCATGGCTCACATCCTCACTTTGCTTGTTGGTTGCCCTTGACTATAAAGGGTTGTTACACAAAAGATCTTGAATGGGTTTTCACAACTATGAGGATGGGGAGGGCCAGAACTGCCACTGAATAGCTGAATCATACTCCAGCCACTGCTCCTCTGATTGATGCACGTCATTGCAGCCCAGGGTTTGACAGTTTTGCAAAGTGCTTTTCCTTTTCTGCATAGACTGAGTCTTACCCACAGCACTGTGCTTGTTTTACATTATTGCACAGGTTGTATGTTTCAATTATGAGCTCATATGTTTCCTGAGGAATGTATTACCAGTAATAGCATTATTTTCATCAAATCCTTAAAAAGAGTGTACACAAATGCATAGTGACATATTTCTGTTTTTAAAGCTGAGGCTATAAAAATGCCATACATCATCTGACTGTAGCCTGATCAAAGTTATCTTCACTCCACCAGCAGCCAAAAACTGGCACCTAAAGCACAATAAAGAAAAGACCAACTGTTGTGTTTGATACTTACACAAATTCTTCCCTGGTATGAGAACATTTGCAGGTCGTTTCTTGATCTAAATATGGTTTGTGTATTTTTAATAATTCTTTAATAACCATCTCATATGAACCTGTCAAACTTTTCCTACAGAAAACATAAATTTTTGGAATCTGCTGCTTCATGCACCTAGAAATATTGTAGTTTAATTGCATGCTTCAATAAGACCTGACTTTTTTTTTTTTAATCTTTCCATACTGCCTTCAATCAATATTTACCAGTTCTCTTGGGAGAGAAAGAGGGAGTGCAGTTGATCTCTATTTATTATCACTGTGCCATCCGTAAATCTCTAGCACATTGTCCCTTAGCTGTCTCTTGTCCAGACTGAGTTAGTCCTACTTAGCTGGGGCAATCCATGATAAAGCCCTTCCAGACTTTTGATCATTAATCTTTTCCTCCCCTAAAATTTCTCCAATTCCTCTCTATTCACCTTGAGACAGAATCAAGATTCAAGATGCAGGTATGCAGTGGTTTAAAATTCTTGTAATATTTCATGCTTCATAGTATAGGATAATCTTTGCTTTGATCTTTAGTATTTTCAATGCAATTTCTAAGAATGACTTTGCTTTTTAACCACTAGTAAGCATGGAATGCACAAAAGTATGCCTGCCCTAACACCAATATCATTAAAGGCAATAGTCAGATCAGAGATCACCGTCATGTGTATGAAGTTAAGACTTTATGTTATGTAAAATGAATTTCCTCTGTCTATGTATTGCCTGGCTACTGAGTGTTGCAAAGTCTTTAATGTCATCCCTTCCTCTTTTCTTCTTTGAACAATTCAATATCATGAGTAGATTTGGTGGGCTGATAATCACACTCTTTATAAAAAGACATTTATTATTGATCACTGATCAACAAGTGGTCCAGAGTAAGCAGGAAGTCACTGTGGCTTTCTCTCCTTGTGTAATATGCAATTTACAGAAGAGATCCTATTTCCTGTCTTCAGAGCAATTATGTGTGCAAGAACCTTCCCTCTTATCTAATGATTGTATAGTGTTCTTCAGTGCTCTTATTGAGACACTGGAAAATCCAAGTATGTCTGTCTGTCAACTGAATATCTCTTATTAAATTAAAAACAATGTTCTGAAAACTTCAAATAAATGAAAATATAGAATAATTAGAACTTGCAAAAAACTAATGTAAGAAAAAAATCTCTTTTAAGCATTAGTTGCAACTGATTCAACTTTTCCTGATATTTTAAAAAATACATTATTAAACAATAAATATTAAATTCTTTTAATAAATAATAATGTAAATTATGCAAATCTGAAGCTATCTCAGAAATGTTTCTTGCTGGGGCTGCTGGGGCTGTTGTTGCTGGTAAGTAGCTAATGTTTTGTAGCAAAATTTTAATTCTCCAATAGCAGTTTTACAAATGATAATTTATGGGCAAGATCTTTAAGAGATACAATAACATTTGCTCACTGTTTGGGCCAGCCTTGTGCTTTTCCCTGAGCTACTGTTGTATGTCTGTATGACCACTGACCTCAGCCACACAGCAATTTAACACCTGAGATTAGTGCTGCCATGAGGGACTCTGCAAGCTGTAGTTTAATACCAAAGGCTGGACCAGCTTCATGTTGTATTCTTCAACTCACAGGGCTCCTTCACATGTGTGTAATGAAAGATTTTTTATTTGCAATTCACAACAAGGTTTCAGAAAAATTGTAACACTAAACAGAAGCCAAAACCAAGTACAAAAGTATGTGTCTTGCTCAGATGTTACAACCTAATCTCAGGAAAAAAAAACCAAAAAAAAATAAAATGGTGTTCAAAAATATTAGGGAGGGGCAAATAAACTGATTGCAGAAGAAGACAAGTGTTCCATATGCTATAAAGGGTTCCCAGCTGGGTGGCTCTGAATCACTGAAAGACAGTATAACTTTGAGTTATCCATCATCCTACGAGAATGTTTCATAAGATTTATTCCTAAATAACAAATTCAGTACTTCTAAGGACATCTGCTTGACTTGGGCTTCCATGTTGCACTGTCCTGTAAGATCCACTATTTCTTTCCTTAGCACATCTATTTTGAAATTTTTATGTGTGAGATAAACTCAACTGTAAACAGTCATTGAAGGACTTTTTGTTTCTGCTTATTTATTATCAAAATACCTTTTCATGGAGTGAATTCACGGTATCATCTAATCGCAGAGCCTGTCTCCTGCTTTTTCCACTCCACTGCTCTGTTTTTTGGAAAAAAAAAAAAAAAAGCTTCAACTTTTTAATGCTGAAGCCTTAAATCTAAATGACCAAACCTAAGGCATGTCAAAAGGAGGAGACAATCATTTCCAGGCTGAAGTGACAGCTTTGGTCACTTCGTAATCATATAGGTGAGAAGGGAGACTAAGCATCTGCAACAGATTCCAAGTGAAGCTTGGTGGATATTATATTAAAGTAGACAAAGTAGTTGTGATTTGATCTTAGATGACATTCAGACTTGGAGAATACTGACTTCTTGACATATACTGATTTTGTGATTGACTGTGAAATTTAGCCAATGTAGGAAAATGACATTTTGCCATCTTCTAAAAAGGAAATCAATGTTAGTTGGCAAGGAATGCCTCTGCTATGTTTGTCATGTGTATATTTGCTTGTTTATTGATTCAATTTTAAAATGATTCTGAGTAGAATTTAACACCTGCTCTCTGTCTTCTTCAATTAGGTCTCCTCAGTTCTTGAAATTCTCTTTTCTCATCATGTCTTGCCTTTAAAAAAATATCATGACCCTTCAGTTTCATCCTATCAGTGTTGTCAGCTGGGCTTTACTGAAGCTGAGATTACGTCTTTTATTTTAATCAGGCTTGGCATGGTACATGTTAAAGTCTGCTAATAGGCTATTAAGTACTTGGCCAATCAATTAGAAAAGGGTTAATAGTACATTTGGGTGTCAAGATGGCGTGTGCTTTTATTTCTCACTGGTGAATGAATGTCTTGGATATATTTTCTGAAAATGTGTGAAGTTCTTGTTTAAAAACAGGCCTCTAAAAATGTTTTGACCTATCCTAGTAAACATAAAATATTTATTTTCTGGGTGAAAAAGCAAAACTTTTATACTATGTGGTGCTATACTTTTTACATATATGCATGAATTCAGGGAATACTTGTATTTACATGCATGAAATCAGGGAATATAGACAGTATATTTTGAGTTATAAAGTTTGTCTTAAAACCAAATAATTTTTACACAAGTCATGTGTCACTGGCTCCTTGATCAAAGGTATTTTTGTTGCAGAATGGCATGCTCTTCAAGCAGCATTCTGTAAAATGTCACTGAATGTTTTATGTAGCATAGGGCAACAGGATGAAAATTTATCCACCATGCTGTCAAATAAAAGCTGAAGCTGCATGGCAAATTGACTTATATTTCACTGAGAAACAACACTGGGGATTTACAAAAAATATTAAACAAAACAATTTTTTTTTCTATGGTCTTACCTGAAGTTTTTACAGATTTGTATGGCATTTAATGACATGTTTAGTATTTGAATAATAACAGAAATCAATTATTTTGAACATAGTGTTTCATCACCCCTTTTTTTGCCTTGCTGTGCCAAATATCATTTCAACATTATGAACTAAATATATATAGCTAAGAAAATCTTATCTTTCTGGTTTTACATGATAGTTTTACTAACAGTTGTGCCACCTTTGCAAAATTCAATAGTGAAAAATTAGCTTTTGCCAAAATTTTCAATCAGTATTGCCATGACTTAGGTAAAAGTCATATGCATGCCTTTAGATATTTCAGATTTTTTTCAGATTGATTTTACTTTCCTCCACTTCAACAAAAAGTATTATGACAAACTAGTAAAATATTATTGGCAACCATCATAAGTACTGTTAATTGGTCTCAGATGTGTATAGTCAATGCAATGTACTTTATTGTATATATTAAATGGAATAGGTATTACACCCTATTGAGTTGTCATGGTTTAACCCCAGGTGAAAACTCATCTCCACACAGCCACTCACTCACTCCCCCACCAGGGGAATTGGGAAGAGAATCAGGAAAGTAGAAGTGAGAGAGCTTGTGGGCTGAGATAAAGCCAGTGTAATGGGTACAGCCAAAGCGCACATGCAAACAAAGAAAAGCAAGGAAATGACCACTTCCCATGGGCAGGCAGGAGTTCAGCCATCTCTGGAAGAGCATCTCCTCCTTCCTTCTTCTTCCCCCAGCTTTATAAGTCATCATGACATCATATGGTATGGAAAACCCATCTGTTCACTTGGGGTCAGCTGTCCTGGCTGTGCCGCCTCACAACTTTTCCTGCACCCCCAGCCCCTGCTGGTGAGGCCCTACAAGAAACAGAAAAGACCTTGATGCTCTGCAAGCCCTGCTCAGCACTGACAGAAACATCTCTGTGTTACCAACGCGTTTTCCAGCACAAACTAAAACCACAGCCTCATACCAGCTACTGTGAAGAAAATTGACTCTACCCCAGCCCAAACCAGAACATGGTTTAAAAAAATAAATTTGTTTCGCTTCTCTTATGTTGATGGAGGTAGAGATTTCTGAGGTGTCTTTCAGTTTTAAAACAGACAAAGCCACTGGAGTCTGTGCTGGGTATGTTTCAGGTTCAGTCCAGACAGACTATAGCAGAACATTGAACAGAAAAATTCTTATGAAAAGAGCACTTTCCCTCCCCACTTTTATGTTTCCCTCAGGATATCTATCAGCTCTGTGCAGCAGTCTGTGTGGGCTTCACTGCCTATATCACAGGAACAACTTTTATTGGATTCCACTTTCGCACTTGAGTTTCAAGACACAGCATGAAAATGAAAGCAGAGGTAGAAATACTGTTTGGTCCCACATTCCAAGAACTTAGATCAATTTTAGTTGAAAGTAAATTTAAAACACCACCAGGGCTTTCGAAGGCAAAGGTCCTACCTTTCAAAAATACCTCTCTCAGACATGGTTCTGGCTACATCCAGTTCTGTTGCTTTTGGGCAAACTAAACTAAAACCAGGAGTGGCTTCTGTTCTTCCTGTTCTGTTCTCTGGCAATTTAAAACTGATTCTTAACAGGAAATTTTAAGCAGAGATATGGTTAGCAGAAATATTTTAGTTGTTTTTCTTTACCAATATTGAAGTACATTCAATTATTAAGACAGCAGGCAGATGACACTTCACATAGACCATCCCAGTTCAGCCTCCATTTTGGCTCCATAAAACCAGACATTTAGCTAAAACTGTAATTCAGGAAGTCAGCAGGATACAATGCAGATGGTGATAATCTCTACACTGGGTCCTGACTGTATCAAAAGATCAGAAAATATAGATCCTTTAGATGCTTTTACCTGGTTCTGAAGTGTGGTTTCTGAAATATTTCCTGCTAGAGAAATCAAGTTAATGACCCAGTCACTTCATCTGTTGAATTCAGCAGCAGTCAAGTAGAAAATTAAAATAAGGTAAACTTGAGCATCCTGCTGAAGTTAGGCACTATGTGGGTCAAGTTCAAATTTCAACACATTCACTGCTAATTTTTATTTCAGGTAATTCAGACTATCACTGCTACTGACAAAGATAACTCTGCAAATGGCGCAAGATTCCATTTTTCTCTTGATGAAGGGCTTACTTTGAATCCCAACTTTACTCTAAGGAACAATGAAGGTAAATCAAATATATAAATCTCAAAGAAATGGGCTTCTGTTTTGTCTGGGCTGTCTGAATTGAACAGAACAATTTCCATGCATTTCCTTACAGAAACAGAAAACTGAAACATGTCATCACTGAGCTGTTGGATATCAAGGACACATGTACACAATATTTTGAAAACTATGAATAATAATATATTGCATTTTGTATTTATATTCTACTTTATTTTAGCATTTATACCTCATACTTTCAGGAATGCTTTTGAAAAGTAGATTAATGAAAAACATGTAAATTTGTTCTGCTTTTAGGTGAATAGCACTGATTGCGTACTGTCAAGGTTATTGCCAATTATTGCTTAAAGGAGAAAAAAAATTAAGGGGCATAAAAATTGGAATTCATGCTTACTTTTACAGATATGACATCAAGAGCAGGTCCTTCTGTGGTCCCTGGATGATAGTCTATTTCTTCATGCCTTCCTAAGAAACTGTTCCTAAACATTGCAATCAGAAATTCATAGCAGGTAGTCCCAGATGGAAAACAGCCCTCAGAGTCTCCCCAAGAAGTGTTTCTGAACATTTCTTGAATGAAAAACTGTCTAACCTCTGAAACACAAACCTAATTCAGCATTGCTCTTGATCAAATATTGCCTTGTGATCTCCACTTTGCAACCTGATGAAAATAAGAGTAAAGTTTAAATGTTTGTCTAAATTTTCCTCCTGATATTTTGTGTGTGTGTATTGTGGGGCTTTCTTTGTATGCCTACGTGGAAGTGTATGAGATTTGCCTTGTTTTCAGTTATGTATTTGTAGTATTGCTGTGGAATACATTCTGAGATCTTACAAATCACAAGTCCTCTGTAATGCATTAGCTCCATCATTGTTATATTTGGTACATACAGTGATATTGAAACAACTCTTTGCAGAATTTTTTATCTGTTTGTAAAACCAATCAGGGAAGGAGATTGAATCATCTTCCTAAAGAATTTGTTCCAATGTTTAACTATACTTACAGAAGAAAAAGAATAATGCCATTTATTTGGCATATAAAAATGGATTTCATATTCAAGTTCCAAAACAGATCAATAAATATATAACAATATTAATAAACAATCATAAATATTGAAGGGATAAATAATATATTAAAACTTTTCCCTAAGTGAGAGACCAGCACTTTCCCAGATTAATATATCTGGGAATATAATATAATAGTAATATATTGTGATGGAACATTATAGAAAAAGCCAGACTCTTGTTCCTCAAATGATGGAGGGGTACTAAAATATTTCTGTGTTTTAGTCTGTGTTTCCAATAAACTCCTTGAGTATTAGACTGTGTTCTCATGCGAAAGACCATGTGCATGTTCATTTCAATACAAGACATTTATATGAAGAAGTTTTTTTGAATAGCTCTTCTAAAACTGTGATTTGTGACAAAGTAGATGTGTTATAGTTTTGAACATATTTAAAGCTGGGTCTGTATTATGTCTGTTCATTGCTACATAAATTATTTAACTACACAGATTTATAAGAGAGCCTGAACTTCTAACAAACATTTGATGCAGCAATGTCCTATTTTGGATAGAAATATTCAACTTTGGATAAAAGGACTTGTTGCTTTTTTTTTTTTTAATTTACTTTCCCAAGATCAGCTAGAAATTACTTAGCAATCAACAGAAAGCACTGTTTGGACTACCCAAAATTGGATTTTATGGGAATGGAGGGGTAGAGGAAGGAACTGAAAAAGATGTCTTTGAAGACAAAAGCCTGTTGTGCATTGTGTTTCTATTTCACCTAAGGAAGTACAAAATTATGCATTTCCTGTAGTATCTTGCATAAACATTCTTACACATACAGAAACTCCAAAATTACAACTTCCAAATTTGCCATATAATTAAAAAATGACTATTTAACTCAAAACATAACAAGAAATTTATCTTAAAAGTAAATACATAATTATGTTTTGCTTGGTACAAGGCAATTTGAATCTATTGTTTAAACACTGCCTTTTATGACACAATCTATACATAAAAAAGTAGTGAAATACCTATGAAGTACATGCAGCTGTCTAGCATTTACAGCTTCCATATTTCTCATCTACTTCTATTCACAAATAGTATTTCTGTTGCTTTCTATTATAGGAAATAGCAGAAAGAAGGTGGGCAGGAAAGGCATTTCTTAAGTCTGTGAAAAGTTTGCACTTTTGAAAACTCATGTTTTTGAGCATCAGGCATTAAAAATGATCAGAATACTTTGAACAGAAGACAGCTGCTCTGGATTTCCAAATTATATAAAGGCTGGTATTTTGGGAGGGTTTTATTTGTTTGTTTATTATGTTTTTTTAAAGAAAAAAACCTACAAAAATTGCCTTAAGAAAATTTTTTATAATGTTTTGTAGAATGATAAAACCCAAATTCTTGTTTTCACATAGGAAGTGGTAGTTAGTAGTAGCTGTATCTGTCTCTTCAAAATTATATTTCTCTTGCAGTCACCTTCTAATTCATCCTAAGTCATTCATTCTAAGTCATCTTCTTCTTTTATTTCTTCAGAAAAAGGCCTTAATTTCATAAAAATATCAATAGACATTTTTCCCCCTTTGTTTTCATAACCCAAAACAACAGTTTTGTTCTTGAACCCTAAATACACTTTTGCATGTATTTACCCCTATTCATTTCTTATCAGTATACTCCACAGCAGTGCACTGGATCTTAAAATATTTATGCTTATATCTAGGCACTTTGACTGAAATCTATGGCTTGTGCAAGCAGAAAATTCTCTAGTTTGTTCCTATCTACCTGTATAGACTGCAGCAATATACAATCCCAGCATGTTTTTGATTCAGCTCAATAATCTTCTATGCCTTCAGCAAATTTAATAGGTATTAAAGCCTCAGTCTCTGTAATTGATCATTTGACCAGTTAAGCTTTTATCTCTTGGCCTGAACTTGTGCATTTTCTAAATGAAAATCTCCACAATATGAAATCTCTGTTTGTGGAATATTTACCCTCATAATGCAGGGTTTAAAACCCTCAGGGAAATGTAGGTCAGGATAGAGTGACAGGGCTATACCAAATATAACATCCACCAAAATTAAGAGTTCCTTGGATCCCCTTCTGTATTCTGCTTGTGCCACAATTTTCATTTGAAAGAAAAAAAAAGGAAAATACAGAATATGATAGTTTTTCTCTACTGTATTCTTAAGGTACAAGAGATTCTTTGTTGCTCTTTAGGTTTTATTCTATACTTGAAAAGTAGTGTTCAGAGAGAGTAAAGGCTTACAAGTATGAACAAGAGGACAGACAACAAAATGATGCAGTATCTGTGTTCATGTAAACAAGGCAGAACAAGAGCTGGAATAGAATTTCTTTGTTATGCTAAGAAAATGCATTAAGTTGTAATAATTTTCTGCAGCTTTAGAGAGCAAACCCACAGAGGAAGCCTTTCTTTTTTGTTTGAAAATTGTACTTATGAAGTTCTTTTAATGAAAACAGGTTTCTTTGCAATTTATTTTGTCTACAAAATGATTACAATTTCTATTAAAACCTGAAAAGTCAAGTACTTTTTCTGCTGTGCTTTTATATTGTAAATCAGATTCTACATAACTCATTTAATTGTTGTCTGTGTTGTTCTCACTTTCTGTTTTAGGATATTGTCATTGATAATTTTGTAATCCTTTTTCTAATATCATGAACTTATACTTTTTGCATAATCCAAAATATCTACTTTTGCATATCCCATTAAAAACTTTCCATAACTATATGGGGCTAAATCCATTTTCTATTTGGAAATCAGAATAAAGGCAACAGAAGTTCTTCCCAATAGATCAATTTCTACAAATTCTAGAATTGTACTTTTTTTTTCTTGTCCTAAAAATAATAATATTTTTCCAGATACCTAAGGAATTGTGGAGATATTTGTTTTTTTCTTTTTTTTGTCTGATGGAAAATGCATCTGGACGTGTCATTGTTATCATATTTCCAAGCACGAATATGTAGAGTAACTTCTCTTTCAGAACTTACATAATATTTTTCAAGAGATGAAAAAAGATTGAACCTTCAGAGAACAGTTCACTTAGAACATTTAAGAAATTTCTGACTGTAAAGCACTGTTTTGCTGGTGCTAATTTTTTAATCACAAGATATACAATTTGCCATGGATGCTTAGTGGTACTGTAAATTTGCTAGACAAGAAGGGTTAATGCAGATAATGGACACATTCACCCAACACTGCCAGTGAGATCTGTGCATTCTCTTACTTCAATAAATTGAGATTGCTGACTTCTGATAGCAGTCTAAGTTTAGCTTACTTTCAATGAAGAACACCTCCCTAGAGAATGCTTAGCATTTGTTTTCCTCTTCTTTTATTTCTTCAGGACAAAGGTTTCATATCACAAAAGCATTTGCAATTAATTTTTCCCCTCTGCCCACTTATCTCAAAGATCTGGCCCTATGATTATTGCCCAGTGATGGAGAATATTCTGGAATTGGAATAAAGGTATGCCATTTTTCTCATACTATAATTCTGGAGATTCAGTTTTCTTAATTTTATGTCAGAAGATCCATTAACACCCACAGAAGTGGAGATGTGTTTTTCTGTAAAATTTAGAGCATGATGAGTTCAATGGCATCTGTATAAAATGAAGTTTTTAATGTATTCATCCACCCATGCCTGTGATATATATTAACCTTTCTCCCTGTGTCACAGATCAAAAAATAGTAAAAAAAAAAGATCAATTTTACTCATCATTGCTGTTATATAGAAAGAGTACAGCCTCCAGAGAGTAATTGATTCCATCCCAGTGTGAATTTCTTACAGACTCTTCTCTTTATCATTCCGCCCTTCTTACTTCCTACCATATTGGACAATGTGCCTGTGAATTAACTTCAGAGCTTTGCAAGTTGCAAATGAAAATGCCAGATACCAGACCATGACTTAATTGTTCTAGAACACCTAAAGTGGCATTTAAAATGGTTGGATTGAAGCCCCCACTTTGCAACCCATCACAAGAGGAAAACGCCCG